TCAGCTAGGTATGTTGGCACTTATCTGTTATCCCATTAGTCTAGAGACTGAGGCAGGAGGATTTCAAGTTCAAGGCTAGCCTGGGCTACAAAGTAAAATAAAACAACATTCAAGGTAAACCACTCTTTCAGCATAGAGACTGCCATGCCATTCATATAATTCTCTTAGTATGACCATACTTTCTTTGTAAACCGAAACTCTTTCTTACTGTCAGTAAACAGTCCCAGTATGTGTGCATATTTGAGTCCTATATAACAATGACAACAGCAAAATTAATGCTTCCGCTTTGGTATTTGTCATTTAATGTCATTTAATAATGTTATTTTTAGGAGCAGGGAACAGTGCATTTTAAGAAAAAGAATTAACTTCAAACTCCAATTCTAATACTGGGGAAGTTACTCAAGTCTGTTGAACTTTTATATCCTTACTCATGCATCTCTATTTTGAGTGTTAAATGAGGGCATATTAAGCTTTCACATAAGCATCATAGTAGTTATTATTATCATTAAACACAGATACTCAGGAACAGCTTTGTTCCTTTACTGTAGATGGTCTTTTGAGGTTGTAAATAATCCTTTCTCTCCTACCCAAAAGGGGAGAGATGTGATTGCTAAGATACATATATATATGTTTATATTTGTACATATATATTATATATACATATAATTTGTATGAAATAAGCTGTTGTTTTTGACAAAGAAAAAGACAAACATTTGTGAAATAGAAAATTAAGTGTGTATCACGGTGCTTGAGCACTGTTCCCATTTGCTGTGTAGGAGCCCAAGCCAGACCGTCTCCGAGTGTTGAAGGTACTGTGGAATGACTTCTTGATCTGCTACTCCTCCCGCCCTCTGCTCTGCTGGTCCGTGTGGTGGGCCCTCTCTACCTGTGGCTATTTTCAAGTGGTGAACTACACACAGGGACTGTGGGAGAAGGTGATGCCATCTCGCCATGCTGCTATCTACAACGGTGGCGTGGAGGCTGTTTCAACCTTACTGGGTAAGCAGTGATGGAGGGTGGAGAAAGTCCTCCGCAGTTAAACCAACTGTGATCAGATTTAGTCTCCCCTTCCAATTTGAAGTAACCCAGAAGAATTATTTATTTTGAGCTCTGGTTTTCTAAGTTAGTAAGAAAACTTTAATGTGATCAAGTGGCAGAGGACTATGACTGACAAACTTGAATTCTTTATATACTCTACAGAAACTTGATATATTATTTTTTCCAAATGGTTTTCTTTGCACATCCAAGTTTTTCTTACCTCTGATTCACTTTACGTGAAAATTTAAGTAGCAGTATGCTATAGTTTAGTGTGAATGTGTACTGGTAAACCCTATTTTGTGGACTTCATGCACATTAATTGTGTTCACAAAATCCCTTAGATAGGTGCAATTATTATTGTTATTTTACAATGGAAACTTTGGACAGATTAATAATTTGCCTAAGATCACATAAATGGCACAGAGTGAGGTCAGGATTGAAACTTGGGTAGAGTGACTTCAGAGCCTGTGTCCTTCATGGCACATTCTGTTGTCCCTTTCTGATTTGTTGTCCTACTTCATAAGGTTGTTGGAAGGTTCTCTGTAAGATCCATAAACACTTATTAATTGTACCTGGCACCCAGAAAGCACTGTATATATTTTAGCTGTCATCATCATCATCTCACTAAAGGGCAGAGAAGCCCTTTTATATATACCAGATTGATTCTTAGTCTGAAGGAGAGATGACATATTGTGCAATGTTGCCAAACCCAGCGTAGTGATTCTCTGTGATCCTAGCCTGTGCGTCAGGCCAAGCAGTCATTTCCTTAGCAGAATCCCTGGGCCTGTGCCCTCTGTTTCCATCTAATTGCCACCTCCCTAAATCAGTCCCTCATCATCTCAGTGGCTTCATATGATTTCATGAAGTTCAGAAATCTCTGCTGGAGTTTCAAGGAACTCTGTATTCTTGAGCTACTTAATTTACACATTTAAAGATGTTAAAATTTAATAATCTAAGATGAATTTTAAATCTTGAAATAGTGTTTAGTAAAATAGCTACATTATTTCTTTTGTTTTGTAGGTGCTATTGCTGTGTTTGCAGTTGGTTATATAAAAATATCCTGGTCAACTTGGGGAGAGATGACATTATTTCTGTGTTCTCTCCTGATTGCTGCCGCAGTATATATCATGGACACCGTGGGTAACATCTGGGCATGTTATGCATCCTATGTTGTCTTCAGAATCATCTACATGGTACTCATCACCATAGCAACGTATGTATTGTGACTCAGAGAATCCTTAGGAAAAGTTATGGCAAGATAAACTTGGATTTATTTACAAGCCAAGAAATTAAAATTTCTGTTTAAGAGAGGAAAATGAGAAGAGGCATTGTATATCAGGAAATATTTGACCAAGATTTGTTTATTCTCTTGTTTTTATGATCCTACTGTATACAGGTATTTGCATAAGATTTATATCATGTAGCCACAAATTATTTTTCACTTTATTGGAAAGGGAATTAGCAGTACAATATGGAGGTCTGTTCACATTTAAAGTAAAAATTTGTAACTATCTAGGAAAAAATAATTGAGGTCTGTTCACTCTTTCTCTTTTATAAAGTTTCCAGATTGCTGCAAACCTTAGCATGGAACGCTATGCCCTTGTGTTTGGTGTGAACACCTTCATTGCCCTGGCACTGCAGACTCTGCTCACTCTAATTGTGGTAGATGCCAGTGGCCTTGGCTTAGAAATTACCACTCAGGTAAGATCTCTTCTTTGGCACTAAACATAGTCTGATGCAATCTGGATGGCAGAAGTGGAGCGTGCTTGATGAAAACACATTCAGGGGGCTGGACAGATGGCTCAGCGGTTAAGAACACTGACTGACTGTTCTTGCAGAAGACCCTGGTTCAAATCCCAGCACCCACATGGCAGCTAACAACTGTCTGTAACTCCAGTTCTAGGGACTCCGACAGCCTCTTCTGTCCTTGTGAGCATTGCACAACACGGGTCCACTTACCTACATGCAGGCAATATATGCATACACATAAAAAAATAATAAAATATTAAAAAAGAAAAGAAAACACATTCAGACAGTGTGGACGGATACAAAGTAGAAGTGCTCCCTCCTTCAGGCACCTCCACATTCTTAGTTCTTTTGTGTATGGAGGATGTTAAGATCATCAACTTTTGATGAGGCCCTCAAGCATGAGATCCTAGAGCATTTCCAAGTATAGTAACAAGCCTGGAGAAACTGTTTCAGCTGAGAGACAATATTGACTTCTTCCAGGCTTGGCCCTTTTACTTCCTCAGTCATTCTCCATTTTTTTTTTTAAATTTTTTTTCCTCCTTGTATTGGTGATGGAACTCAGTCTCAAGCATGTTGGGCAGGTGCTCTACTTCTCATGCAGCAATGATTCGTTCTTTAAAATTTCTTTAATGTATTTATTTTTATCTTATGTGTGCAAGTGTTTTGCCTGCATGTATGTAAGTGTACCATGTACATGCAATGCTTGCGGAGGCCAGAGGTGGTGTTGGATCCCCTGGAACTGGGGTTACAGATGGTTGTTAGCTACCATGTGGGTGCTGGGAACCAAACCCGCATTCTCTGCAAGAGCAGCAAGTGATCTTAGTCACTGAGCCATCTCTCCAGCCCCAGTAACCCATTCTTAATACACCTGGAGTACTGTGTGAGATGCCCAGTTTCATGGTACTTCACAGCTCTCTAAGCCACCTTTCTTGCTTTTTTTTTTTTTTAATGTATATTTTTATTGTGCTTTTGTGTATTTCCTATAATACATCTTAATCATACTTAGACCCCCTCTGTTATCTGTGTTGCCCCCATAGCCCACCCACAGAATTTCTTAGCAACTTTCAAGTTAATGACTTGAGAAAACATATGTACAAACATTCAAAGAATGGATATTTTCATTCATTCATGAATTATAGAGAATAAAGGATCATCTTGCCAATTGTTTGAGGAATAGTACCATATCATTACAGTTGAAGGAAATATGGCTAACATTTGGAGTGGAAATTTGACAGCACATTATTGTAAAATGGCTGATTTAAGCATGGAAGAATAACATTTTTTGGACTGTGCTAAAATTCTAATGGCTGTGAATTATTAACATCCTTCATATCAAAATCTACTCATAAAGTTTGAAAGAATCCAGCTCAGAGATTTAGGACAACACTATTGTACCTGAACCAGTTTGTAGGCAATTAGTAAGTTATTTTAAGAAGAAATAAATGATGATGATATTTATAAATATATATAGTCACATTAAAAACTTGTCTTGCCAGGTGTGGTGGCACAGGCTTTTAATCCCAGCACTTGGGAGCAGAGGCAGGCAGATCTCTTTGAGTTCAAGGCCAGCCTGGGCTACATAGTGAGTTCCAGGACAGCTGGGACTACAGGGAAACCCTGTCTCAAAAAGACCGAAAAAAGCTTTAAGGAAGATGTTTCTATAAAGAGCCTTACAGTGGAATACACTTGGCCTTCTACTGCCTTCTTCTGGGGGGAATAGAAACTCTTGATCTCCCGAACTTGGCCTGTTAGTCATGCCCACCTATCAGTTTCTGGATACAGACCATGACTCGGCTACAACAATAACAGCACAAATAAAAGCAGTAATATCAGTGGCATTAGCACCGTGCCAGTAAAGCCTACATATATGATCTTGCTCACTTCTTCCAACAAGCCCTTAAAACAGGAATTGCTAGAAACTCCATTTTGTAAATAATGTCAAAGCTCAGAGATTAAATATCTTATTTTTCTTTTCACTTTTTTATTGATATGTATGTGCCCACACATATGTATGCATATGTGTGTGTGAGTTTATATGTACATGCGTGTGAGGGTGCCCATCAGATCCCTTGGTGCTTGAATTACAGGCCTTGGTCAGCCACTCGACATGGGTGCTGGCATTCAAACTCCAGTCCTCATGATTGAGCAGCAAGTCCTCCTAATTGCCCAGTCATCTCTCCAGCCTCAAGATGAAGTATCTTCATGAAGGTCACAGCCAGGACGATGCAGTCAGGACTCACACTCAGCCAGCCAGGGTTTTGATACCGTCCTGCTAGGTTGCCTCTTTTCTTCAGTGTCGGGCACATTGTATAAATATGCAGTATTTTTGAAGAATTTTGATAAAATCTGAATATACCCTTAATTATATGTTTACTTATATGTAACAATGCACCTCATTGCTAGTTGGTAACTTTATAAGTAATTCTTTGCTTTCTTTTAGTTCCTGATCTACGCCAGTTATTTTGCACTCATCTCAGTGGTTTTCCTGGCTAGTGGCGTAGTCAGTATTATGAAGAAATGTTGGAGGCAGAAGGATCCAGAATCCAGTTCTCAAGTGACCCCTTCCTTATATGCTGCTGAAGTGCTGCTGCTTATGAGCAAGAACTCCGCACAGCAACTGCCTGGATATATTTAAATTTTTTAAAGGTTTAGACAACTGTTTATAAATGTGCATTTCCTGGCTTCAAAGCAGCCACTCAGCTAATACCTTGTACTCCTGGAGTTAACATAACCCTGAGAGAAGCTGGAAGTGAAGCTTTTTTTGTGGATTATTTATGAGAGCTAATTTAAGGATGACTTTTTCTAGTTCAAGAATGAACTTGATTTTGGAAAAAAGTAATCAAGAGTAGTCAAGTGGCACATCCTGTCATATACTTGATTAGCATGTGAATTTGATGTTTTATAGGTCACATATGTCACTTTAGCCAGACTCTTGGCCTGGTGGGACCAGGGCTTCACAGAGGCCACAGGATGTTGCAAGTTATAATGGAAGGTCCGTTCTACCAGCACTTGCCTCTGTCCAGCTTCATTCTAATTACTGTGTTATTCATGTGCATTTGTGTTTCTACAGATGAAAATTGTTCTCTCACTGGCAATATTTGCTCTGGTTTAATGTTCTGTCCTGTTAGGAGTATGATTTCTAATTTTGTTTTAAATTCGTTGTATGAATGTTCTTGGTTCCCATCTTGACCATTAATATATTTTTGAAAACTTTCTTTAGAAGTACATTTATGCACTATTCATATGCTTCCCAGAGAAGCTCATTTAATCAGAAAAGAAGGCAAGTTTTAAAGCCTGCTAATAATCTGAGTGAAGAGACCTAATGAGAAAACTTAAGGTAGATTTGCTTGTCTTTAATCTTCAGTATGAAGGACTCTTAGTTCCAAGTGAAAAGTCATAGGCAGATTAGAGACACGGCCGGGCTGCTTTATATTTGTATGCCCTTTATTTCCAAAATAAAATAAAAACTTCCTTTCCTTTAAAATAACTTCATTCCCATTTATACCTTCTATATTATTTTGGCTTTCTTATCCAAGATGAAGGTGTCATCAGGAACTAGATTATTCCAAGGCTTTTTCATAAATGGAGCCTCTTTTTAATTATTTCACTGGGGCAGGAACTAGGAGATTTGATTCCTGCATTTTGTACCTTGAATCTGCCTTTGTTCCCAAGGGTAGATCATCTTGATATCTACTTAAAATTTGCTCCATTTCCACATTACTTGAAGGAATGATATTCTGTATGTTGAACTCTGAAGTCTGTCTATAAGGGGCTGCTAATATTTGTGAGACATGAAAACTTTCAAAGCCAACTTTGTTGCATAATTGTGCAAAGAATCTAGGTAGGTGCTTTTAACTACAAGTGTTAACATTTTACAACTGACATTGCTAACAATGTGAATGGTATCAAGATCGCAAAATTGGGGCTGGGGATAATGTTGGGTGGTAGAGAGCTTGACTAGTATGTGGAAGACCCTAGGTTCGAGCACTAGCACTGCAAAAACAAAAGTGAAAAACTGACATATCATGTACTTTAAGCAATAGTCCTGGAGGAAATGAGTTAGGGTAAGAATGGGTCATTTCTGTGCACCTTTCCTTAACTTAGGGGAAGGAACAGAATACTAGGAGGGAAGTGAAGTCATAGTAGCAATCTCCACTTCTATATTTTTGTCTTTTTTTTCCTTTGTTTTCTCTTTGCTGTATAGGTAATTGGTTACTGAGAAGAAACAAGAATACAAATTGCATTTGAGGAATTTTACTTAATCTTTGATTTTTTGTTTTTTGGGGTTTGTTTGTTTTTTAAGAAAATGTATTATGGTACAATCCAATTGTTTGTGTTGCCAAAGCAATATTTTCCTGGAATTTAATACACAATTTGTGGCACCCAGTTTGATCCTTTTTACCTGCTTAAATTAAGAATATGTTCACATTTCGCTATGTGGTCATATTTGTATAATGCTGAACCCCATGTGCTGGTTGTACTGTACTGTTTTGCAGAGAAGTGAAAACAATTTGTTGTACTTTTTATTCAATTCTGTATAGATTATAAAACATCTTTAGAAGGAGCTTTACAACTATAAATCTTTTAACAATTTTTCCTAGGACAATGTTCATATGAAGCTGTCCTCTCTAACCTTCCTAATTAACCCCTAGTCATCCACTGATTTTCCATTGCTTTGAGAACTTAGTTTTCACTCCCTTGTTATTTCTGTTGTTGCCCTCCTTCCTGCACAGCACTGCACTCCTCATTTCCCTGGTCTTTATCTTGGCACCTCTCGTCTCTTTTTAAAGCATTCTTCCCTTTAGACACTAAGAAGACCACCAGTCTCTTTGCTAGTAACTGAAATTTTTAAATGGAGATAAAAGCAAGGACTGAAAGTCACACTATTCAAATGAGCATTTTTCTTCTAATACGCCATTCTAAAACAAATAAGACTTCATTGGTTATCACCAAATGCTGGATATCTTTCACACATACAAACATTTTGGATAGTTTTCTATCTCCATAGTTTTATCCTGTGTCTTAGCTGCTTTGCATATTTATAAGCCTTTTGAACGGAGGACTGTGCCTTTTGTTGTTTGTTGTAAAATATCCTGGTACTATATGAATATTGAATTATACAATGGTATTTGGTAGATTCATCCATCAGCCAATATAACAGCTAAACACCCATTATTTTTGTAAAAAGACACCATAATAAAACATCAAGATTAAAAGGAAATGTCTGGTAACACTGGACGCTAAACAGGTATTGTGTTTGAATTATATATATTTGTCTACTTATTTTCATAGATAATATATTACATTTTCCATTTGCTTAGCATTGGGAAGGGTGAACATCATCTTTGATTCTTAAAGGAATATTGTAATACTTATCCTTCTGCTTTCTTCAGTAATGCTGTCAGAATGGTTTTCAAGTATTAGGTTTGCCATTCAAACTACAGTCTGTTAGGAAAGTCTGTTAATAAACTCCTGTTTCATTATTTGCAAACAAGATGATACAGGATTGTTAGGAAGATATATGAGAGCACATTTTTAAAAACACTATCATAGGCACTGTTCTAGTTTCTTTTTTGTTTCTGTAATAAAAACACCATGTCCAAAAGCAACTTGGTTAGGAAAGGGTTCATTTGGCTCACACCTGATCACAGTCCATCACTGAGGGGAGACAAGGCAGGAACTCTATGGCAGGGACCTGGAGGCAGGAAGTGAAGCAGAGACTATGGAGGAACTGCTCACTGGCTTGCAGCCTAGGCCCACCTGCCCAGGGAAGGCACCACCCACAGTGGTGGCCATCTCTCCCACAGTGGGTTGGGCCCTCCTACATCAGTTAGTGGTCAAGAAAATGTCCCATAGACATGACCACAGGCCAGTTGAATGAAGCAGTTCCTCTTTTGAAGTTCCTTCTTCCCAGGCGCCTCTAGTTCCAATCAGCTTGACAAAATCTAATGAGTACAGGCACTGAGTAAGTTGCTGAGAAATGAGTTACACTTTCCTTCTCCATTTACAATTAACTAATAGCTGTCTGTTTCAAAGCTATTCTCAAAAGAAACTTTGCTTAATCAAAATGAAAATGATTAGAAGTTTTCACACTTCCAAGCTCACTTATTTTTAATTCATATTTTGCATTACTTCAGGAACACAAAGATAAAAGTCATAGTTCTTATGTTGGATCACAGACCCTCTAGCTGCTTCTCTCCCTCTCCCAGAAATGAGGCCACACATCCAGCTTATTCTGAGAGAAATAAGAAAGCACACTGTAGTTGTCTTCCATCTCCCCGCCTCCTGCAGCTGAAAGATGATTTTTTGGTCCCACCTGGTACATGCCTCTGGGCTCCTTGGCAGTGCCTATCAGGCCAGGCTAGATCCTGTGATATGAAGCTTACCTACTCCTTTAAAAACCTGCAAGAACCAGAAACCCCCTTTGTCCTCTGGAACCAAAAGGTCTGTCTGTCCCTTTAGGGCCTCCATCATGCTGTACATGTGACCATCTCTCCTAATGCAGCTCCTCTTTGGGCTTTGAAGGCCCCCAAAGGCTCTCCAAGGCCTGCTGCACTGCTTATGGCCATGATACTCTATCTAATGCAATCCCACTTTGAGACCTGATCATGGCTATGTTGTGCATAGTTGTGACTCTCTCTCTACTCATTCTGCCCAGTCTGGGCCAGCAGCTAGCTGGAGGCCAGAGCTTGTCCTATGGATGTAGTAGACACTGTCCTGTCCTGTGCCTGCTCATTTGTGGTTCATGGACTCTCTCCTGCCATAGGCCCTTTGTACCTCACTCCTCCACTATGGGATTTCTACCCACCTACAGAAGACAGTGCTCCTCAGCCAGCCAGCTCAGCCAGGGCAGTCAGGCTTTGATGAGCCTGTAAATAAAGCAGCTAGTAGGGAAACTGACTTTTCTGAAGCCCTTAATGTCAGCTTTGCATCTTTCTGTGCTATTTTAAACATCTACAGTAACCAGCATGAACTCATAAATAAATGGGTGTGAATAAGCTGGTTAGCTGGACTACACACATAGGCGGTTCTGGGTTTAATTGAGAGACCCTGCCTCAATGAATAAGGTGGAGTACAATCAAGAAAGACTGCTAACTCAACCTCAGGCCTCCACATGCCCATGCACACACATGCATGTGCATATATACACATGTGCACACATCACACGTGCACATAAGAAAAATACTAGTTCTCAATTCAATGAGTTTATTGCTTTTTGTGTTTCTTGAAAGTAATTTAAAGATTTTTACATTTATTTATGTGTTTGCATGTGTGTTGTGTGTGTGTGTGTGTGTGTGTGTGTGCTATGTGTGTGCAGGTACCCACAGAGTTCAGAAGAGGATGTCGGGTCCCCTACAGCAGGAGTTACAGGTGGTTGTGAGCAGACTAATTTGGTTGCTGGGAACCAACTTGGGTCCTCTGGAAGAGTAGTAAGTGCACACATGCCACCACCCACCCTTGGAGGTTAAAGGACAATCTGTGGGAGTCAGTTCTTTCCCTCCGTGTAGGTCTCCAGTATGGAACTTGGGTCATCAGTCTTACTGGCAAGAATCTTTACCCCATTAAGCCATCTCATCAGTCCAAAAATAATTTTTTCTATCAGAATTCGAACACATAAACCCACAAATTCCAGAAGTTCTTGTGGCCAATAGAAAACAGAGCTTGATGAAGAATGGAAATAGACAACAGTATACCACAGTTAAAATGTTTTAGTTTAGGAAATTTTACAAAAACTTACTTCCATAGAAACAATTGTCAGAAACCCTCCCAGAGCCATAAATAAATAAATTTAATCTATCTTATCAAAAGGCTAAAGAAGGAAAATTATATACCTACTTATGTTAAAAACTCTCAACAACTATCAATAGAAATTTCCTTAATGATAAAGAACATCTACAGAAAACCCAAGTCTAATGCCATGCATAGTGCTGAGAAATTGGGCACTCTGCCCTAAGATCAGGAGCAAAACACAGATGTGTACTCTCATCTGAATCATGGGAAAGTTTCATCAGTGGAGCTATCCAAGGAAGAGCATTCCAGGCAGAGGAAAGATCAAGATGTGATGGAGCTTGCTGTAGTTAATAATGAAACAGACAGGTGGCTAAGATGGTTGGTATTCAATGAACAGATGAGAACGTAAGGGGCAAAGTGTTCTGATTATGCAATTGAAAACAAAGCAGGAGGTTTGAGTTTTATTCTAGTTAACACTGAAAAGCTAGGGAGGGTATGATCTGACTTAATTGTCTTTATTGTTATTTTGCGATAGAGTCTCACTATTTAGCCCAGGCTAACATGAAACTTGTGCTCTTCCTGTCTTGGCCTCCCAGTGCAGTGATTACAGGCCTGACTCACATTTTAAAGAGATTCTGGTTGCTGGCAGGAACCTCTCAGAGTGGCTATCTACAATCCTGCACTTTCACTCTCTGCATTTGGATACTAATACATGATGTGTCCATCGTCAGCTAATGCCAAGGGCATTATACCTAAGTTCTATAATGAGTTTAATATTTGACATGCCATAGGAGAAGGATGGGTAGCCAATAATGCTTTGGGGTTGTCATGGAAGGCGTGAAAGCATTGACTGGAAGAACTCAAAGCCAATGAATGTTTTAACCTTATGTAGTTTGGAAGCACAGTTTTTCAATATTAGTATTCTCAGGAAAATATGGCCATATGTTTACACTTAAAAAACTATTTTAAAAAATCTAAGATCATCGTATGAAACAGTCATTAAGGAATCTGTCCACCAGGCCTTTGCTACAAAAAAAAAAAAAAAAAAAAATAAAAAAAAAAAAAAAGAGAAGGAAATCCTGACTAGAGCCTCAGATTCTAGCAAAATAAAGTTTTAAGAGGATTAAATTTCCAGTGGCATAAGTACAACTTTGAGATATTTTTGGATAGCAATTGACTGCAGAAAGAAAAAAAACTCAAAGGAACTAGTTGATAATTGACCCACTGTGAGTCATATCATGAAATGGTTTCCCAAAATGAGCTGAGATAAGGTTAAAATTATTGGAGCACATTATCTACAACAGTAGTTCTCAAAGTGAGGAAGTTTTACAACTCCTGCTCAACATACACGCTACTGAAAGTCCTCTCAATATCACTCAATACTGAAACAGGGTCTTCCTGTAGTTCCAGCTGGTCTGGAACTCCCTATGTAGACCAGACTGGCTTCGATCTCACAGAGATCCACCTGCCTCTGCCTCCTGAATGCTGGTATGAAAGGCATGTGGCACCAAACCCAGATTTGACACTCTTAATAAAACATAAATTGAAAATTAATTTTAAAAATCAATTCTAAGGCAAAAGGTATTTTTCTAACAAACCTGCAATTTCTCCTTTCTGATCACAAGAACTAGGTATGGCCTTTATTTCTACAAATACTACTGGGAACCCATTGAGTATGATTGAACCATATGACAATTTTATAGTAGTTTATAGTTGTCACTAAACCAGAATGTTCTTTCTCTTTGTGACGTGATGGTAACATTAAAGACTATAAATGAATATGAATATACAGAGAGCATTAATTTACAAGTATTTATATGT